CTGTAAATGTGGAAGTTGTTACGCTGGTGAATGTCTTTGTGTGCATGTTTTCACCACAATAAAAGTGAAAAAAAAAAAAAAAGAAACCACCTTTCCCTTGTAAGTGGAGAGCAGGGGAGGCAGGAGAGATTGACTTACATGTGGTAAAAAGAGCAAGGCACAGAGACAAGAAAGCACATGTGAAAAACGGCGAGCAGTTAGTGATGGACAAAAGGTGAGAACAGGGGGTTGTGACCAGATTTGAGGGGGTCCATCAAGTGTTAAGGAGTTGGAATCTACTATGAAAATGAGGTTGTGGATATGAGAGACACTAAGTCTGAAAAAAATACAAAGTGGAGTCCCAGCTCTCCTGCTGCCTAACTTTCTTCCTTGGGTAAATTAGATGATCCCTATACGCCTGATTCGCCATCAGTACAATAGGAATACTACCTACTCTTATAAAATTGCTATAGAGGTAAAATGAAATAATGCACTTATAACACCTACTGCAATGCCTGTCTCTCAGGAAGTATAAGGAAATACTTGTTGAGTGATGGCAAAGAAGAAACAGTAGGATTTGGGGAGACAAGGGAGAGGAAAAAGCAAAGATGAGTCAGGTTTCAGGACTAGGTGACGAAAATGATTGTTGTTGTTTGCCGTGGAGTCAGACCCGACTCATAGTGACCCCTCCTTGGGTTTCCAAGGCAGTATTCACTATGGAAGTAGATTGCCCCATCTTCCTTCCAAGGAGTGGCTGGTGGGTTTGAACCACCAGCCTCCTGGTTAGCAGTCAAGTGCCTTAGGCACTATGCTACCAGACCTCCCGACAAAGATGATAGTAGCTTCTTAATGTGAAGAGATTTTTGTCTCACTCTGAGTACAGACAGTGCTTGGGATAGGAATCAGGATGAGGGAACATGAAAACAGCCAAAAGCAAGGGAGCAGAACACTCTGGTGGTCCTGACAAGTCTTTGGGAGGTCATCAACTCAATTACATGTGAAAATAAATAAAAACCTAAAGAAGCTAACTGGCCAAAGTAAGGCTAACATGAAAATGTTCCCTGGGCTCACACCAACTGATGACTAAGTAGGATAGGAGAGATGGTAAAATCCATCTGACTTGTAAATTCTGCCTAAGAGACGGCCACACAGCACATCCAGACACATTTCTCATAAATGTCAGTTTTCCAAGGCAATCAATCAGCCCAAGCGTCCCTACCTTCTTTTTGCTCACCCTATCCAAACAACTCATGGTTGTACCTGCTTAGGGGCTTCTTCACCCTTCTCTCTACCCATCTGAACCTACTCCATCTATTAAGGTCAAAGGAAATCTCTAGTCCTCTGTGAAACTTTCCCAAATCCCTCCAACCTTCCCTCCTTTCAACTCTGAGCACTAGCTGTACCCCTCATCTGGTAACCAATCACACGCCACCTTAGGACAGCTCTTGGATTAGTTTCTATTTTGTGTTATGTGCTGTCGAGTCAGACCCAACTCATAGCGACCCCTCCTTGGGTTTCTGAGGCAGTATCATTACAGAAGTAGATTGCCCCATCTTTCTTCCGAGGAGTGGCTGGTGGGTTTGAACCATTAGCCTTCTGGTTAGCAGACAAGTGCCTTAGGCACTATGCTACCAGAGCTCCCAGTGTCTATTTTAGCAGTTTTCAATCGATAACATGCTCACAACCAGTGGTCCGGCAGAATCAAGATCAGAGGTTTCTGAACCTATCACATTCACCTCGTAAACTTTTCAAAAATGTAGACTAGGGCCCGCATTCCTAGAGGTCTAGGATGTAAATGAGGAATCAGCTTTAAAAAAGCTCCCCAGGGGCTTCTGATCAGCAAGGTTTCAGAACCTCTGGTCCAAATGATACACAAGTCTTTTATTTAGACATGTATTTATGTAATAAACACAACCACTTACTGAGTATACACTGTATAATTTTCACAATGATGTCCTGTTAATGACTATGGTGTTTCATTTGGTTTAACCACCATGGACATCCAGAAGAAAGGTCCTACTGTCACTAGGCTTAAGGTTGATGTTGTTGTTGGGTGCCACTGAGTTGATTCCGACTGATAGCGACCCCATGTGACAGAACAGAACTGCCCCATAGGGTCTGCTTGGCTGTAATCTTTATGGAGGAGCTCTGGTGGTGTAGTCCCCGAGGCATTGACTGCTAACCAGAAGGCTGGCAGTTCAAACCCACCAGCCACTTCTTGGAAGGAAGATTAGACAATCTACTTCCATAGCGATACCGCCTCGGAAACCCAAGGAGGGGTCACTATGAGTTGGATCCAACTTAACGGCAGTGAGCCTGGTTTTTTGGTTTAATCTTTATGGAAGGAGATTTCCAGGTCTTTCGTCCATGGAGCCACTAGCAGGGTTTGAACCAGCAACCTTCTTTCGGTCAGCAGCTGAGCACCTCAGCTCCTTGCAGGCTTAAGGTAGTGTCCCACATATGTTGTTAGTGTCTTGTTCACACACCAGTGAACTAGTCACCTCCTGGTCCTGCACCATCTCCAAAACTGGCTGTGGACTGGATTGTTGGGATTAGAGGTTTTCACTGATTTCTGGAAGCAGATGGTCAGGCCTTTCTTCCTAGCCCATCTTAGCCTGAAAGTTTGGTTAAAACCTGTTCAGCATCACAGCAACACACAGGCACCTACTGACAGATGGGCTGATGCTGTGCATGAAGTGAACCGGCTGGGAATCAAACCCAGGTCTCCCACATGCAAAGGGAGGATTCTTCACTGAGCCATCACTGTGCTGGTCCTGCATATCGCTGGTCTCAATAATTAGCTTATCAAATGAATGCTATTCAACTTCTTACCAATTTATGTCTTACCTCTTCAGACACACTCTAGGGGTAAAGACTGTGTTTTTATTTTTATGTCTTTGTAAGCCAAATCAGCTATCCCTATGGTTTTCACATAGCAGGGACTCAATAAATACTCCTTCCTTTGTCTTTGATTTAAACTTTCTCAATTCTTTAATCTCTCTTTGATCCAGAAGGTTATGAAGGTTATATGACATAGTGGAAAATGAAAGACTTTGGTGACAATCTGAATACTACCTCTGTTACTTATTAGCTGTGTGATCTTGAACAAGTTCCTTAAATGCTAAGCTTCTGATAATTTATTCACAAAATAGAAATCATATCCACTCACGAAACTGTAATGAGGATTAAATGAGATAATATACACAAACCCAGACAGGAGGCACTAAATAAAATAAGCTCTAACTATAATTATCTGGGAGCTCTGGTAGCATAGTGGCTAAGGCACTTGACTGCTAACCAGAAAGCTGGCGGTTCAAACCCACCAGCCACTCCTCAGAAGGAAGGTTGGGCAATCCTACTTCCGTAGTGATACTGCCTCGGAAACCCAAGGAGGGGTCGCTATGAGTCAGGGCTGACTCGACGGCACATAACAACAACAACAACATAATTATCTAACTATATGACCCTTCTGACACCCTTATATGTAAATGAGGACACTTTACAGGTGAAATTTTTAAAAGTAAATTGATAGTGCTTAGAGCCTGGTACATTTTAAACCCAAACCAAACCAAACCTGTTGATATTAAGTTAATTCCAACTCATAGCAACCCTACAGGACAGAGTAGAACTGCCCCATGGGGTTTCCAAGGTTGTAATCTTTATGGAAACAGACTGCCACATCCTTCTCTCATCGAGCAGCTGGTGAGTTTGAACCAACAACCTTTTGGTTCACAACCAAGAGCTTATCCACTGAGCCACCAAAGCTCCAATACATTTTAAGTGCTCATAAAATGTCAGTGATTAATTAATGAACGCTTATCTCCCTTTCATCATAACTGGCCAAGGTCTCTTTCACCTTGCACAGATTAAACTCTTTGGCAAATAGATTTTCTCCTTTTCCAGCTTGAAACAGCTCTAACAAAGCCAGAGTCTACTAAACAGTCCCAGCGTAACCCAAAGGGAATCGCTGGGGCTCACAGTGCAGCTGTCCATCTCCTGCTGGGGCTCTATTTGGACTGAGCAGGGACTGCCCCTCTGCCAGCTGTGTAAATTTTTCAATAGATAGCTATTTCAGGACAGAGTCCAAGACTGGCACTTCTCTGGTGTTTCCTTTCAAACAAAGTTCTCTGGACACTTTTAAAACTCATTGATCTGACCTTTGGTCTCTAGAGGAAGTGAGGAAATATCGTGCTTTTAGAAAATGCACACATCAAGCACTCAAGGGAAGGGTTTGAGCAACAAGGTGGCAGAGCTAGAAAAGCAGCCAAGATAAGAGGGTTCCGGAGCATTCATAACTGTGATAATTTCATACTTGTGGAGAATTTAGTTTACACAGCACTTTCACCAACTATTAATTCATTGGCTCCACAACACAGCTACAGCCTAAAACACGTAGAGCAAATGTTATCTCCATTGCACAGACAAGGACAGTGAGCCCCAGAGGTTGTGTGATTTGCCCGAGTCACACACTGAGTGAGAGGCAGACCTGGACTAGAACCTGGGTCTGCTGACTACGAGTCCAGGGCTCCTCCATGAACTGGAAAGATGGAAAAGGAACTCTTCTTCCACCAGCACGGAAAACAGGAAAGCTAGCATCAGAGTGAGGACATGGAAAGTGCGGGACATAAAGAAACCCAGGTTTCAGAGAGGTGGGGCTGGGAGCTCTGGGTGGGGAATGTGGTCTCGGGGTCCAAAGTAGGGCTGGGGAAGCTGAAGGCTCAACGTGAAATTATGGGGGCTCCGAGTGGGGCAGGGGGCCCATGGTGGGGTTGTAAGAGCTGCGTCCTTGGATAAGAGCTCACAGTGGACTCGAAGGGCGTCGGAGTGAACGCGCGAGGTAATAAGAGAAGGGTTAAGGTGTGGGTGAATATCGAAGGCGTCTAAACAGGGAAATGAAAGGAAAAAAGATTAATATGGAGTCCCTGGGACTGAGAGACGAAGAGATCTCAAACTGGGCTGCAATATGAAGAAATCTGCAGACACCTAGGCTCAAAGCAGGAGCTTTGTTCAATCAAACTTACCCAGTAGAGCTGATCCCTCAGAATCTAACCGAGAAGTTTAACGCGATGGAAAGGAAAAACCGCCCAGGACTCCGTTGTCCTTTGGTAGTTGTAGTTTCAAGAACTCACTATGGGAAGTCAGAAACATTGCCCGCCTCTCGGTCCGGAACTATAACTCCCGAGGTGCACCGCGCAAGACAGCACATTATACCAGACTGTGACTGTGATTCCCAAATTCCCATGTCCCATGGGACCCAATGTCCTTGGGTGTAACGGCACAAGGCTCAGGATGCGGTGCAATTCCTCCCCCTGGTGGTCTGAGAGACTGCAGCCACGATTGAGCGAATGGTTACAGTTTATAGTTCAGTTATAAATCCTCCGCCGACCGTTCTTCAAATAATCCCTGGGCGTGCTTAGAAAGAGCCATCTTTTCTGATAGTGCAAAGTAAGTGCACGTTCCCTACAGTCCTATGCCTGTTGACATCTGTGATTTCTCATGTCCTTCTCAAGAGGCTTAGTGGCCAAGAACAGGGAAGAACTGAGAGATCAGCTGGTACACGTGTACACACACACACATACACACACACAAATACACACACACTCACTTTATCCAGCTCCTCCACCTGCACTTTACTGGCTCTATGCTTGGTTTTAGGGACACAGTGGTAATAATAATAATAATAATAACAATAAATATGCTGTTAGAATAGAACTGAGTCTGTTTAAATCTAAATAAAGAAGAGTTGTCTTACAATAGAAAGAAAAATGTTTTGTTTCACCAAATGGATAAACTCAATAAAACGCTCCAAAGAGCTACAAGATGTCAGCAGTAAGGTAGGGAAAATTGTCTTTATCCTTTGTTTGACCTGTTGCTGTTGTTGTTATGTGCCATCCAGTCGGACCCGACTCATAGAGACCCCTCCTTGGGTTTCCGAGGCAGTATCTATCCAGTGTTATTTATCCAGGTACAACAGAGTGATCCAAGATTATGCAGAAATTATCAAACAATATCATTAATATCACATGCAAGTACATTATACTGAAGATAATTCAAAAATAGTTCCAGCAGTACATTGACAGGGAACTGCTGGAAATTCAAGACAGATTTCAGAAGAGTATGTGGAACAAGGGATATTGCTGATGTCAGATGAATCTTGCTGAAAGCAGAGAATACCAGAAGGATTTTTACCTGTGCTTTATTGACTATGCAGAGGCATTTGACTGTGTGGTTCACAACAAATTACGGATAACATTGCAAAGAATAGGAATTCTAAAACACTTAATTGTGGTCATGAGGAACCTTTACATAGACCAAGAGGCAACTGTTCAAACAGAACAAGAGGATACTGCATGGTTTAAAATAAAAAAGGTGTGCATCAGGGTTGCATCCTTTCATTACATTTATTCAATCTATATGTTGAGCAAATAATCTGAGAAGCTTCACTATATGAAGAACTACATGGCATCAGGATTGCAGGAAGAATCACTAACAACAATATGAAGATGATACAACCTTGCTTACTGAAAGGAAAGAGGACTTGAAGCACTTACTGATGAAGATCAAAGACCACAGCCTGAACTTAAAGAAAACAAAAATCCTCACAACTGGGCCAATAACCAACATCATGATAAACAGAGAAAAGGTTGAAGTTGTCAAGGATTTAATTTTCCTTGGATCCCACAATCAATGCTCATGGAAGCAGCAATCGAGAAATCAAACAATGTACTGCATTGGGCAAATCTGCTGCAAAAGACCTCTTTAAAGTGTTAAAAAGCAAAGATGTCACTTTGAGGACTAAGTTGCACCTGACCCAAGCCATGTTATTTTCAATCAGCTCATATGCATATGGAAACTGGACAACTGAACAAGAAAGGCCAAAGAAGAATTGATGGCTTTGGATGATGGTGTTGGTGAAAAATACTGAATATAGTATGCACTGCCAGAAGAATGAACAAAACCTGTCTGGGAAGAAATACAGCCAGAATGCTCCGTAGAAGGGAGAATGGTGAGACTTCATGACATGTACTTTGGACATGTTATCAGGAGGGGCCAATCGCTTGAGAAGGACATCATGCTTGGTAAAGTAAAGGGTCAGTGAAAAAGAGAAAGACCTTCAACAAGATGGATTGACATAGTTGCTACAACAATGGGCTCAAACATCGCAATGATTGTGAGAATGGCACAGGAGTCCTGTTGTAAATAAGGTTGTTATGAGTCAGAACCAACCTGATGGCACCTAATAACAATACAACAAGAGGTGTTAACAATAGCATATACTCAACCTCGTAGTGCTAACAGAAAGTCAAAATTTATTCTGTTTTCCGGCATATAAATTGAACATTTACCTGAGGTAGATACACTTCTTGGAGCAATCAATCATGGGAGAAAGAAGGGCTCTTTATGCATGGGGAGACAGCTCAGGGGGCAGGAGTGCATGGGGGGATGGACACAGGAAAGAGGTAACTATTGGGAAGAAGTAGGAGGGGAGCTGTTGCATTGTGGTAAATTGTAGTCAATGTCATGAGACAAAGTGTATGTGAACTGCTGTGTGGAAAGTGAATTTGTTTTGTAAATCTTCACCCAAATCACAATTAAAAAAAAAATTATTCTGTTTTCCAAAACTACTTTAGCTAAAAACACTAAGGATTCTTGTTGGTTATTCAGATAACCCTGTGAGGTTATCTGTAATGTCCATTTAGCTATTCCATGTAGTTGTTGTTAAGTGCTGTCAAGTCGCTTCCAACTCATAGTGACCCCATGC